TACATACATTGAATTCCTGATGCAAGTTATGCCGCATAATGTTTACAGTCAGCATATTTTCGATGCGAACTATGCCCTGTTGTGTTTATGTACACTGTTTACTTTGACGCAAGCTGATGCATAATGTTTATTTCTGTTTAAACACATTAATGCACAATTGCAACTTGGAAAAAAGAAACAAAATTGAAATAAAGAATGTCAAAAAAAAAAAAAGAAAAGGATTGTTTTAGACCAAACCAAGTGTTTGCTTGAATATCTACCCCTGTCCAAATGTAATAAAGCGTGCACGCTGAAGAAATCACACTGACACAGAAAAGTTCAGTTAAATGAAAACTTCCAAGTGTATTGTCAGGGGGCGGCATAGCCCCTTAAAAAGGCAAAGAATGCAACGTATGCAAATACAGAAAGTAAACTTTTCAATTGGTTAAGTGTTAGGTGTTTTAGTAAAGTATACATTTAATTGGTTAGGTGTTAAGTGCCTAATCTTGATGGACTTCCTCCAGAGGGTGTTGATGTCATCGTCATCTTAGGTGTAATTCCGGATGGAGACGCCATCTTACTACACAAGGGTTCTCTAGCAGCCATTTTGAGTAATAAATGAACACAAGTATACATAGTAAATACACATCAATTTCTATCCAACACAGGATAAGTTGAAATGTTCCCATAGCAGTAAAAGGGCGGGCGGGCGAGTGTGGAATCCAGGCTTTAGGACGATATAGTGACATAGACACTTTAAAATAAACAGGAAAAATACTAGATCTGTAAAGTGATATAAGTAGAACTGAACCCACACCTTAAGTGGAGTGCTTGAAATTGAAATAAAATTTGAATAAAATATATATGTAAATGGAGTAAACTTACCCCACGTTACCTTGTTAAAATCTTTAATTTGTGGTACATATAAAATATAAAAAATAGAAACAATTTAGTGCAGATGGTTTACAAAATTGAATTGAATAAATGGTAGAGAAGTAGGATTACTCACATTTAAAGGAGAATATATACATACACACACACTCTGTGTCTCTCTCTCCTTTGTCTGTCTCTCTCTCTCTCTCTCTCCTTTGTCTCTTGTCCACTTTGAATTTCTATAGGTATAGGTATAATAGTGTTGTGCCAATTTTTGTGGAGATGGCACAACCCCTATGAAGATTCGGAAGACTCCAAAAGACTTTAAAAGATTTAAAAAATGTATTGTACAATTAAATATAAAATATAACAACATAAACAGGATATAAAATTCCTAAATATGAAGTTTACCCCATTTACATATATATTTTATTCAAATTTTATTTCAATTTCAAGTGCTCCACTTAAGGTGTAAATTCCTCTTATACCACATTACAGATTTAGAATTTTGGGTGTGGATGAGAGGGTATTCCACACAAGTGTCTAGAGCTGCTGTTTGTTTATTCACTTTAGCACCTTTTTGTATACACACCTCTCCCAAAAGGAGGTGTATCTTGTTTGTAGGAAAAAATACATAGTTCTTCTTGAAAGGCTTACTTCCTTTTTGCTGCTTTTGATGGTTATGGGGCAAAACTGTTTAATTTGTTTAAAACCACAAACGATTATTAAAGAAAATATTGCTCAGCTTAGCAGTTTGACCTAGCCTTTAGATTGCACCCAGTGTGTGGGTGCTCAGTGCTTAGTTTAAATCCATAAAACTGCTTAAAAACTAGTAGGCTAACAGTCCCATCATCATCAATAGGCTAAAGTGGGATTTCCACCACTATAGTCTACATTTGAGTTTTAGATGGCAAGTTGTGATGGCTCCTGGAGAGTGGGGAAATATGTCCTATTTCTATTAGACAGCCAGTTCTACAATTTTGATCTGCTATACATTTAAGTTATAATATTTTTTTTTTTTTTTTGCAGGTGTCTCAGCATCTCAGTACAGAGCGCACAAACAGCCACAGAAGGCAGCAAGCATATATTGCACCCACTCTTGCTCAGGCCCCGTACTCCTTTCCACATAGCAGCCCTAGCCACGGGGCTGTACACCCACATCTGGCAGCCACAGCTCATCTGCCCAGTCAACCTCACTTGTACACCTACACCGCACCTGCTGCCCTGGGCTCCACTGGTACAGTTGCTCACCTGGTGGCATCACAGGGATCAGCCAGGCATGCAGCTTATCCTGCCAGCATTGTGCCAGTCAGTATGGCCCCTCGACTACTTCCTTCCCCAAGCCTCCACCCTAGCCAATACCAGGCACAGTTTGCCCACCAGACTTACATCCCAGCATCCCCAACTTCTACCGTCTACACTGGATACCCTCTGAGCCCACCTAAAGTCAATCAGTACCCTTATATTTAGCCTCCCGGTCATTGAGTGGGATTGTGGCTGCCCAAAAGCTTATGTTGTGAATGGAAAAAGGCGTGTGGCAACATTTTAACCTGGAGGACTATGGGTCAAAGTACGGGTCAAAGAAAGTAAGAAAGCGTGGCTACATTTTCTTGCTCTTAATAAACTCTTCTGGATTAAAGAAATACACAGTGGTTCAATTTTCATACAGGACCTCTAGACACAGAGAACTGGAAATCTGTTAAAGATGCTTACAATTATGTACGTCTTTAAACAGAGGCAGGCTCAACTGTGTGGGACTTGTTACTGGATCCCCTCAATGAGGTTTGGATCCCCTCAAGAGACTGCAAGGTCCCCTATCTCCACTGGACTTTGTGACTTGCTGCTCTGGGGAGGGAGGGTTGGGGATTCATGGTGAACATTGCTGGAGTCACCCGTTGGGTAACAAGAGAAAGTTGTATTTATTAATCACTGATTATTGTTGAGTTACTGAAGAGTCCACTGGGCTTTTCTGATATAGCAGTGACTTAGGAGTTTATCCAGAGTTTTATAGAGTTAGGTACTGACCACACTTTAACTCTAGAAAACGTAATTTTATTTTAAATATTGCAGTAGATTATAGGATAGCCGAGGGTGCCTAATCTGGGACCCCACCAACTTCTTTTCTTTTTTTATTCTTCATTTTTTGTTTTAGAGCTAAGGAGATGGTGGGGTGGCACTCTGGGCACACCTTTAACTTTCAAGTTATTTTTATTCCCCCCTTCTCAGCACTAATTGCTTTTTGGTTGTTTTCTTTTCTTTTTTTGAGTTTTAGACGATTGACATTTTTAACAAAAGATTTTACAAGTGTTTAGAAAAGAGACTCTGCTTAGGGAATCTCTTTTGGATTTTAATACAGAAACCAAAAACTGAGCAGCTTTTTTGTTTTTGGTGAAGCAGGAGTTTTGGGATGTTGATAAGGAGTGTATGTACGAATGGTATTCGTGGATGATTCTTCTGAGCAGAAATCGTAAAGTGAGGAAGAGGATGCCAGCAGAATAATCCTGATTTTCCAGATTGCGGGCAGCTGTGTGGACACTAAAGGCCCTGATGGAACTTGGAGTCTCGTAAAAAGAAAGAACTGAAATGGACACAGCTGCTTAACCTCTCACTGTTTCAAGTCACTGTAACTCCTTTTGCTTAAGGAATTGTCCCTCCTCCTGTGCTACAATGTAGCACAACCAGGTGTACCCTGTTTTATAAGCTTCTCCGATAGAGCTATATTTTCTCCTTTAATCACTGAATTGCACAATAGTATAGAGACCTGTTTTCCCTCAAACTCTGAAACACTAACAGACAAAATGTGATCTAAGATATTGGCATGTTACTCTGTGACAGTCCTGGTACTTGTGTGAATACTTGTGTCCTTCCGTTTCAAGTCCTTTGCTCGTAGTGCCTTACAACCTGCTGAAGATGTTTGGCCCTAGTGTGTCTCTTTAAATTGTTTATTTGTTGTTACCTTAGATTGGGTTTCAGTCCAGCAAAATCACTGGTGCTGTTTCCTATATACCACTCTGATCTCTATCTTTCACCCTGATCTGCAACCTTGTTCTCCCTTACTACAAGACCTGCAATATGTTGCACGCCCTTGAGTAGTTGGCCCTTAGAAAGTTGATGAATATCATGTTGCCATTGCCTGTGATCATGTAAAATGGGGCGACTAATGTAAGATCTGTGCACCGACTATTCTGGGGTTCTAAAATAATTCCCCCTTTTTTAACAACTTAACCAGAAGCTCTAGAGCTATGGTTTTCACTTCAGTTCTCTTTAAACCTATAGCTGCAGGAGCTAGAGCTATTCACTGTATCCCAATCCTGTCCTGCAGCTAAGGGGTTAATTATATAGACAGCAGGTGAGTGGAGATTTTTCAAAGCAATTCTGAAGAGTCTGTAAAGTACGGTAACCGCAAAAACGCTAGCTGTGGGCACATTGTTATGTGTATGACGGTATGTGAGTGTGGTTAACCCCTTCAGTATTGACGAGGTTAAAAAAAAAAAGGGAATAAAAGAGCTGTAATTTGTGATTTTGTTTTGTCATTTTGTGTATAAATGCATGTGTTTGCTATAACTTTCTGATGAAGACCACTAAGGATAAACCTCTCCAAACAACCAACCTATATTAAAGGGACACTATAGTCACCAAAACAACGTTAGCTTAATGAAGCAGTTTTAATGTGTAGATCATGACCCTGCAGTCTCACTGCTCAATTCTCTGCGATTTACTCAGCCTCCATTAAAAAATGGTTTAATTTTCAATCAGATCTTACAGCATGGTGTGTTTACTTTAGAAATTATCTTTTGCTCTCTTAAGGGATTTTTAACAAACTTGTATTCCTAACGATTTAGTATTCTACTCCCTGTTTAGATTCAGGCAGCCCCCGCCAAATAAAATAAAGCGGTGGGGGACGTTTACCTTTTCTCCAGCTTTGAGATGCACTCGCTTCGCCTCTGGTGACCATCCCGCAGTCAGTCTCCTCTTTGGTTTTTAATCCAATCCCAGCAATAGGGGCGAGAAGTGCATGAGTAGCAAGAAGCAATGGCCAGTCAAATGATTTTCATAGGAAAGCAATGAATCCGATGCTTTCATTTGATTAGCATTTGAGGATGTTCAACATTCTTATGCAATATGTGTTTCATAACAGAGACTGACTCAGTTATAGAAGCAGAAGCACCCTTTACTGGTTGTCACAAGGACAGCCACTAGATGCGTTGCGACTCATTTACAGAGCCACCAGAGGCATGTTCAGAACTACAATGAACAGATTCCTTTATCTACAAAATGACCATGTTTACATTGCAGGACTAAAATTATAAGGCCACTGCACCTGGACTACTTCATTAAGATGAAGTGGTCTGAGCCTTTATATAAGTCCTTTTAATTGAACTTTAATCACACACGGGGCTTCTTCAGGTTAGCAGGCTAGTAACAGAGCAGAAAATAATAAAAAATATATATAAATTCGACAGACTGCAGCAAAGGAAGTTTAAAATATAGATCTCTTTTTAGTAGAAGTGTGCAGGGAAGTCTGTAAGTCACAGGCATGGGTGGTTTGGTTAACTCAACAATGGCAGAGAATGACCAGTGAGACTGTAGGGGTGTGATCTATACACCAAAACCACTTCATAAAACTAAATTTGTTTTGGTACTTAAAGTCTTGACCATTATGTAGCTTTAGGCAACCGCTCAAGGGTTAAGGGTTAAACTGGGTCCTTGGAACCATGAATTTGTTTGGCCATATTCACCATCCCTTTGTGACTAGTGAAGGTGGTGCCCTGACTGGTGTCCTGCCATGGGCAGGCTTGTTGGATCTTAAAGGAACACTCCACACACATAAAACACTTAAACTTTATTTTTGAAATAATGCACTTTTATAAATAATTGCAGAAACACTGGCTAATTGTCAGACGTGGATGTTCCATTATATCCACAGAGCTCAACTAGAGTGCTCCTGTCTTCACCCCTTGCACACATCCACAGGGCTCATTTTATCCTTGGCTGATCAATGTGTGTCCCTGTGTCGAAAAGCTGCTCCTGTGCGAACTTGCTGCTCAAGATCAATGATTGGTCTTTCCCTCAGGGGAAAGGGGGGTGCTTGAAAAGGTTGCAGATAAGATCTGTGGCTTTTGCAACCTGTTTTTAGACATACAGCCAATGGGGAAAAATGCATGTTTTCATTGGAGGATGTCTACGTAAAATAAATTATGTTCATTTAATTAAATCACATGCCAACCCAAAATAATTTGTTGCAACTGTGCTATTCCCTTGCTTTTGTGATGAAGTGCACCCCTAATATGAAAGGGCATAACATTCTACGGTGAGATCACTGTGATTGACAGAAGAATGAATCCTGTCCAAGTGCTTGGCAGACTGTTTTAGACATTCAGATTATTCTTTCTTAGCAGATAAATGGTGCTTGTAACAAAAGCAAGTGTAAGCTCAGAGATGCAATAAAAGCGCTATTAACTTAACTTTAATTTATTACAAAATAAAACAGTTTTATTTTGTGTTGATACAAAAAAAAAACACAGCAATGACAGATTCCCTTTAGCTCAACTTCCAGTCTTTATAATTATTACACTTTATTTATAAAGCACCTACACATTCCACAGCACAGTCCATGAGTAGAATTGGTAAAAGTCAAAAGTACAAAACATCTAAAAGACAATACATAATTCGATGAACAAATACAGGAGGAGTTGAGGGCACTTTTCCCATAGGAATGTACAATCTAGATTAGGGGTAGGCAACTTTCGGCACTACACATTTGGAACACATCTCCCATAATGCTGGCAAAGCATCAGAAGAGATGTATTGATGAAGGTTGCCTACAACTGATCTGGATTGCATAATTCTATTTGGGAGGGACAGACCTTATTTTGTCCTCCTTTTCTATCCTAATGTCCCTCTTTTCTAGGAGCACCATATCGTTGGTGTATTTGACTGTATTACAGAACTCCACAGCAATAATACTCCAAGTAATGTGTATTTAAAGTACAATGCATGTGCTTAGAAGTCAGTCTGTGTAAATAAGATGCATTATTCTTGTTCTAAATTACATTTTAGTTGCATACATTATGAAGTCACCCACCCTGGTCACCCCTAAAATTAAAGTTTCCCTGTTTGTCCATTTAACATGATGGGATAAGAGGGGTGAGAAACAGGAGGTGAGGACTGCAAAGGTGAGAATGGTATTAATTGAGGGCATTTATTGGCTTTAGTTACTGAGTTGAGTGGTAGGCTTCCCTGAACAAGAATGTCTTTAGGTAACTGTAAAGTGACACTTAAAGGTCTATAGTTAGTCTCATCAGGCTTTTTAAGAGAAAAGGTAGTGTTTACATTACTGCCTAGTAACATCTCTAGCGGCGGTCACTTAGACCTCCCAATGGTGTACGTTACTCTTCCTGTTACAGAAGGGGCCTAGTGAGGCAAAGTATATAGCAGACTCTTTTAGTTGGGAAAATTGCACTCGAGCAGGCTCTTTTTTTTCCCCTACGTCCTGTAACGCCGTCCCAGTTAACATACCTGGTAATAGAGGCTTTTAACTATAGTTAGTCGCTTGCAGACATTATTACCATTCATATAGCACCAACAGATTCTGTAGCACTTTACAACATTGTGAGAGGGGGTACTTAACTATAAATAGGACAATTACAAGAAAACTTACAGGAACGATAGGTTGAAGAGGACTCTGCTCAAACGAGCTTACAGTCTGTTGGAGGTGGGGTATAAACACATTAGGACATATTTGAGTAGATGTATGCATTAATATGGAGTGTTTTGTTTTATTTTTGGTTTATCATTTTCATGGATTGTTTTATTGAGATTGTTTCAAGATAGCTCTTTTTTTTTTTTTTTTTCTTCCAATAGCAAGCATCCCTGATTCTGCTTTATAAACTTGCATGAACTCAAATGTCCAGTAGGTGGCATTCTACTTCCACAATACTTGCAATGGAAGCGCTTTAGAGGAAATGGAGGGAGATGAAATGTTGCTGTCCATTCATGTTTTGGAACAGTTTAAATTGCTGTACTCTAGGTTTTTCATTGTATTAAAGGGAAACTATTACATGTTTGCATACAACCCTATAGTTTACTAAAAGCAATGGGTTGTGCAAGTTTTTTATGCACGTGTATTCATTTTCCATTTAAATGCTATTCTGGGCTGTCTCGCACAGACTGGTCATATAATGCAGATTACTTTGACTACCATCGTGCTGTGCATGTGGATATTATGAGCGCACAAGTATGGCACTGTGGAAAGACACACATAGGGGGGTCTAGGGGAGAGAGACACATAGAGAAGCTATGGGAGAGAGATACATGGAGGGGCTAGGGGAGAGAGATACATGGAGGGGCCAGGGGAGAGAAATACATGGAGGGGCTTAGGAAGGGCTAGGGGGAGAGAGACACATGGAGGGGGTGGGGGAGTTAGGGAATGAAAAACACTTAGGGGCTGGGGGGTAGGGAATGAGACATGGAGGGGCTGAGGGTTGGAAAGAGACAGATGGGGGCACAGGGTAATTTTCGCACCTGGGCCTGGTTGTTTCTCGTTACGTCTCTGCCCCTTTTAAAATGCACACCTTTAGGATTTTGCACATTGATGCCTGGAGAATAATGGAAAGATGATGGTATTTTCATAATGAAATACTATACTATAAAGAGGGTTATCCACTAAAGTGAGAATTAAAATGTTATTATTATTTATACAGCGCCAACCTATTCTGCAGATTTATAATTTTAGAATGGGCATAATTTTAATTGACATACAAAATATAATAACAAGAAACAAGAGGTGTTGAAGAGGACGACCCTGTTCAAATTAGGATACAATCTATGAGGAAGTAATATCGACAAACGATGAATAACTGCATGTTAGAAGAGAGGAGGGATTGATAGATAAGATGTCTGTGCCAAAATAAGCTAGTAAAAACACCACGCTGTGCCAGTCTGTATCTCCTTTTAGAAATGCATTGCATCCATAAATCTCTATGGGGAAAGTTCAGCACCTCCATGCAGAGTGTGGGGACACTGAACATCAGTGCTGCACACTGTGCATAACTGAACTAGGAAGCTCATCTAGTGGTTGTCTGAGTGACTGTCACTAGAGGTGTTCGTAGGCATCAATGTAAATGTATGTAAAGCTTTGTTTCCCAATTAGTGGTATGTATACCCCAAAGGTCAGGGCTGGTGCTAGATTATTTTGCAGGCAGGACCAGCTTTTTTCTGTATTTTCTTTGTTGTATTTAAAGGGTTTTTTGAAGGATTCCCTTTTATGGTTGCTGCCTCATTTTGTTATTAAGCGCTTACTCTCTCTTCTGTTTTTAAGACCAGCTACATTCGTTAAATCCCCCCCTTCCAAAAAAACACAAATAGCCAACTTTGATTTTTAAACCGATTTGTAGAAAAACTGTAAAAGCATAAAACTTGAAACTACTAAATTTCATGACATGCAATGAGGGGAAAAAGTATTTGATCCCCTGCTGATTTTCAACATTTGCACACTGACAAAGAAATGATCAGTCTGTAATTTTAATGGTAGGTGTATTTTAACAGTGAGAGACAGAATAACAAAAAAAAAAAAAAAAATCTGGAAAAATGCATGTCAAAAAAGTTGTAAATTGATTTGCATGTCAATGAGTGAAATAAGCATTTGCCCCCTTCGACTTGGTGGCAAAACCCTTGTTGGCAATCACAGAGGTCAGATGTTTATTGTAGTTGGCCACCAGGTTTGCACAGATCTCAGGAGGGATATTGTCCTACTCCTCTTTGCAGATCCTTTCCAAGTCATTAAGGTTTTGAGGCTGTCGTTTGGCAACTCGAACCTTCAGTTCCTTCCACAGATGTTCTATGGGGTTAAGGTCTGGAGACTGGCAAGGCCACTCCATGACCTTAATGTGCTTCTTCTTGAGCCACTCCTTTGTTGCCTTGGCTGTGTGTTTTGGGTCATTGTCATGCTGGAATACCCATTTTCAAGGAGGTTCTCACCCAAGATTTGATGCGGTGCAGTTGTCCTGTCCCCTTAGCAGAAAAACACCCCCAAAGCATAGTGTTTCCACCTCCATGTTTGACGGTGGGGATGGTGTTCTTGGGGTCATAGGCAACATTCATCCTCATCCAAACACAGCGAGTTGAGTTGATGCCATAGAGCTCGATTTTGGACTCATCTGACTACAACACTTTTTAGCCAGTTCAGGCACCATTACGCATTAAAAACAAATAATAATTTACAAGTGTCAGTAGCCAACCTTTGTTTGATTTGTTTATTGCTAACAGCTTAAAGTCTGTAGATTTTTGACCGTAAAACTGATTTTGAATGGGGGGTTGAATAGTTTTGATTACAACTGTAGATGGAGCTGGTCTATTTAAGGTGGGCGGGATGACTAGTTCAATTTGAGAAAGATTGCATTGTAGATAGGATATAGATATAGAGGATAGAAGATGTCTAGAGACCTCTTGTTTTAAGATGTGTGGGAAAGAGTTTTGGAAGAAGGAATGGATTGGAAGTAGACTATTGGAGGGGAGGTTAGAAATTCAATAAATAGAGAATACCTTTCTATGGGACCTTTTAGAATAAATTAAAAAAATCTGTGCTGAGGTATATTGGGCATGAGTTAATCTATCTGTTTTATCATGAAGCTGTTTGGCCTGTCAGGACCTGGACAGACCTGGCTACAATTGGTATCATTCATAATAAGCATGCTACTAGCACGAAGTAATAGAAGCTAGGCCTCTGCTTGAATACCTTCATTAAGTGTTCTTGCATAGCAAGACCACTTAATGTTATCTCACATATATATTATTATTATTATAGCAAAATTTGCCACCCTAACTCCTCCCACAGTTTTTACACTACATAGACAAAAATTTACCAAAACGTGCAGATTGTTCCCGATCGGATTGCTATTACTTTGTGGAACGTTTCGCCGAATGGTTCACGGAATATCGTCGTTCTTGTGGCGAAATTTGTCCCATAGGAATGAATGGCAAAGCTAGAGTGGGAGCTGGCAAAAGCTGAAAAATCAGGACATGATTTCTAAACTGCCG